CTCTGCCTCCTCCTCCGGCCGCACCAGCCGCCCCCCGATTGGCTACTGGCCGCGCTGCGGGCTGCCCTGCTGTGCCCCCGTCGCTCCTCCGCTCGTGCCGCGCCCTCCCCATGGCTCTTCCGGCCGTGCTGTCCCTCCTTACCTGCAGGAGGGCAGCGCCGGCCGGCAGGCGCGCCACTTTTTAAAAACGTGCTGAGGGGAAGCGGCTGCTTCCCCTGCACCCCACTAGCTACGCTACTGGATGTTGCTGCACTGAATAAAACACACTGGAGACCAAACTCTCTGAAATTTTTATTTATTTATTTATTTCAAAGGGGAAAAATTTAATTCTCGTGGGTGGGACCATCAAGAAGCCTGTTAGGAACAGAAGAGCGGCCACAGCTAGTCCGGTGTCCTGTCCCCGACAATGGCACAACCAGAACTTCCAGGGCAGTGCCTAGAACACAGCCATAGTGGAGGGACCCATCCCTGTCTTCCCGTCCTGGCTGCTGGTAGACAGAGGTTTAGGGACACCCAGAGCAGGGGGTTGTGTCTCTGAGCAATTGGCAAATTGCCATGGATGGCCCTATCCTCCAGGAACTGATCGAGTTCTTTTCTGAACCCTGCTATACTTTGGCCCATCCCCACATCCCCTGGCAGTGAGTTCCACAGGTTAATTGTGCATCGTGGGGAAAAGCATGGCCTCTTCTTTGTATGAAACCTGCTGCCTGTTCATTTCATTGGGTGACCCCTGGTTCTGGTGCTGTGGGACAGGGGAAATAGCAGTTCTCTCGTCACCTTCTCCCCCCCATGGCATGATTTTCTAGCCCTCTGTCACATCCCCCCTGAGTAGGGTTACCATACATCCGGGTTTCCCAGGACATGTCCGGCTTTTGGGTCTTTAAATAGCCGTCCGGGGGGGATTTGTAAAAAGCTAAAAATGTTCGGGATTTCTCCCAGACGGCTATTTAAAGATCCAAAAGCGGCTGACAGGGCAGCCGTGCCGGCGGAAAGCAGTACTGGGAGCAGCATGGAGCGGCCGCGAGAGGTGGGTGCGGGAGGCCTGGCTCCCCCTGTCTGGGGCTCCCCTCGCCCGCCATGGGGCTGGGGCTCTCCCGGGGCTCTGCCCTGCATGTGCCCAGCACCTCCGGGGCTGCTCCTGCCTCCCCGGGCTGGCCCCAGATCCCCTCCCCCGGGGGGGCTGGGGTCCTGTTGCGGCTTGCGCCCCTCTGCCTCCTCCGGGGGGCAGGCAGCCCCAGGGGGTTGAGGCCGTGCCACCCCTTCCCCAGCTTCCCCCTCCAGCAGCCCCCGCACCGCCCTGCCGGCCCTGTTCGGCCCTCGGCCCCACCGGGTCCTGCCCTGCTTCAAGCAACCCCCCCACCGTGCGGCGGCCCAGCCCGGCCCGACCCGGCCCGGGGGGACTGGGGGAGCCGCAGCAAAGCCTCGCCCGGAGCTGGTGCAGGAGACGAGTCTGGCTCCGGCATCAGCCTGCAGTAGGGTGACCAGACGTCCTGATTTTATCGGGACTGTCCCGATATTTCCTTGTTTGTCCCGCGTCCCGACCGACGTGCGGTCGGGACAACCGGACAAACAAGGAAATGCCCCGGAGCCTAGAGCCCGGAAGTGCTCGCGCCCCCCCCCCCCGCCCCGACTCCACCCCCTCCTCCCTCGAATCCCCGCCTCTTCCCCGGGCTCACCATTCCCCCTCCCTCCACAAGCGCTGGAGGGAGGCCCGGGAGACTCAGGGGAAGCGCGGGGCCGGGGTGAGTAACAGTCCGGCCTGGCCCAGTGCAGGCAGGACTCAGTTGGGTGGTTGGGAGAGGAGGGGGGGCGACCCGTTCGTTCCCCTGCGGG